ATGGTCTAATTGTGTATTGTATTGCCTTGAATTTTGGACAATTTTACTTATCCAGACCGAAAAGGAAAGGGGTTGGGGGTGCTTCCCATGGACCCCACAACGCCCCGGGAAGCCATCTATCTGTCTACAGCAAAAACCTCCTGCACTGTTTGATGTTCTTTCCACCTTCCCAAGTCCCAACAATGAACGAGGGAATATACTAATAAATTTACATCAAATGAAGATACGAAAGCTCATTTCATCATGATGCATCACTGGTTTAATGTTGCTACGATGCTATCTATCAAGCCTCCCAATGCAAAATCAGATTGGTCAAAAGGCCTATTAGACAACATATGCAACGTTTACTTAAGATACTGGTGGTGACATATTTCAGGCTAGCTTCTCTATACTGCTCGGGGTCTACAATATCTATCAGAAGGACATATAACACCCATCAAACAATGACCTAGAAAATATAATATGAAGGGCCAAAAGACTATAAAGCAGAACTGTGAGACCTTTCCAAGGAATAACTAAGAAGTCTCCTGGATCAAATAATTACAGCATTGACAGACTAGCCTTAGTGAAGACCAGAAGTCAGATCCAGGAGAATTATTAAGATATCCAATATACAAGTCCTATAATGAACCACAATGAAGTCTTTGGGCCACCTAAACACTGTCCAGGACGTTTGGAAATTCATATCACTATAACGAGATCATATTAGGTGGTTATTGTTGTTGATAATTGATACTAGCATCACAAAACAGCTTAACCAAACTAAGGGAAACGCATGAAGAAAGTGGTACTGCTTCCAGTACACATAAGACCACTAAGCACAAGGTAGATAAACAAGTAAGCCACAGATCTGCGCAGCTTATTAGACCAAAATAATTACACATAGTTCCAAAGAGAATACTAGTAGAAACTCTCAGAGTGATGCACCTGACAGCTAATGTGGATTGAAGCTTGTATGTAGCCAGTCTCTTCATTGTGTTAGGAACCCCTACAGTTGATATCGTGATCATTCTTTGCCCAATTTGAATGTCCTGAAATAAGAGATGGCCACTTTAAATGAGCATAAAAGAAAAAACTAGCATACCAAGCCAATTGAGTCAAAGAGAATATATATAACAACAATAACAACAAAGCCTTAGTCCCAAAATGATTAGGGGTCGACTGACATGGATCGACATAAAGAGAATATATAACATGCCAAAAAACAAAAAAAAAAACAAAAGACACATGTTTATCATCTGTGTCAAAAGTAGGGCAATTGTTCCCATTGAGCTCGCATCTTAGTAAAAAAAACATGGCGAAAGACTATTAAATTTAAGCAGTTTCATCAATGTTCCCTTCTTTTTCTTCTGACATAGGAGAAATGGACAAAGAATTCCAGATTGTCGATTTGGACAGAGATCCTAATGTTCTTGCTTTTCAAAACTTAAAATGCAACTAGGTTAAGTTACTGAAGTAAATTGATGAACCTCAGCAGTGAATCAGTGACGCCACAACAACAACAAAAAAAAAGAAAAAAAGCCACAAACCATGATCAGCAAGACATGGCTGGCCAAGTTCAGGTCATCTACTAACACCCAGATTCAGTCTCTGGAGATACACACACTCTCTTGCAGTTTAACAGCTTAGAGAGCTGGGTAATTTAGGCCCATGCTAATGTATTGAAAAAAAAAAGTGCTTACAATCTACAGATGATAGACACTACCTTATTCAGACATCGGTGGGCTTCAACAACAGATTTCAAGTTCATCATTGGCTCCCCCATGCCCATGAAAACAACATTTGTGACGCGATGCTTAAATATATCTTCTATAGCCAAGACCTGAAAAAAAAATTATAAAAATTTTAATGCCATATTAAACACAAGAAAAATAAATACAGCTCATTCATTTTAAAAATTTAAATTCAGCATAAATTTTCTCGATTTCAGGTAGTACAAAGTAAAATGTAAAATACAGAATTGGGAAGCAGAAAATGGGGGAAAAAAAAGTACAAACAGACTATATAAGAAGCTCTTGGCCTCTTGCAGCATTTAAGTTCTTAAGCATAACTCATGATATGGCAATAGATGAGGAAATGAAATCCTTGACAGGAACTATGTAATTACTTCTTGATATAAGTTGTTGCCCTTTGAACTCAGTTCAATCAATTGAAATTTGATGCTACATAATATGTATGGCTCCATGCTTTTGGACTAATAACAAGTAAGACCTTGCAATAGACAGAATAGAGACTAAACAAACCTGTTCAACAATTTCATGCCTCTGAAGGTTTCTCGAGAAACCACCCTTCCCAGTAGCACAAAACGAGCATCGTAATGGGCAACCAACCTACTCCAAAAACATGAAGATCAGATGGACAAACAAAAGTAATCGACTTTAAATGAACAAAAAAGATATTGCTTATTGCGGTTAAGGCAGAGGGTTATTCCGAAATTAAGGCCTGTTTCAGAAAATGACCTGTGATGAAACGCAAGCAGTAAGCCTTACTGAACCGTTCTCGTCTGTCACTGGTATTCCTACTGTTTCAACCAACCTGTCATCCACCAGCTTTAGCAGTAACTGCAGGGATAATACAAAGATTCTTTGAGGCCAAATAAAAGAACAAACATTCATAGCCTCATCATTTTACCAAAAGCATACACCAGTAATAAGAATTAAGTCAGAGTAAGTTCTATCACACTTGAAGATGATCACAAAAGCAGAAAGTTTTTCAGATTGATAAATTGTTCTTCAGTCTACATTACTATCACCCTTTTAAAGTAAATCAACAAAAGAGAACATTGCAATAATATGGAGTATATTAAAAGTTTAAAACATGTACAACAGCTTTCAATCTACAAATTCACGTAAAGCTTTTTCAAAACCTATAGCAACATATATTTTACAAAAAGGGGCAATATTTACACTCTAAGGCCCTGTTCTTTAGAGCTGCTCTGCTCGCTAAAATCTGCTCTGATGAAATCTACTCTGCTGAAATCTGCTCTGCCTGCCCTGCCCTGTTGTGACCTGCTCTGCTCTGCAATGTGTGGAAGCCCTGCCTGCTCAGCTGAAATCTGCTCTGCTGTGCTAATCCCTGCTCTGTTCTGCTCTGCCAGGCTCAAAAGAACAGGGCCTAAATAGAAATCCCTATCCCAAACAACACTAGTAAAATTATAATGATGTCTTCATTCTTACCCCCCTAGCCTTTTAGGAGTAAGAAATTTCCAATTCCCATCAATCCATGCTTTTCGATTGGGAATTCTGACTTCGCAACGTACGCAAAATACATCAATTCAAAATTAAATCCGACACCAAAGAGCAATCCAACAGAGTTACACAAAACAATACAAGACCAAGAAACACTTAAATTTCAGCAATGAAACCAAATGGGGTTTAAAGGGTTTGAACCTTAATAGTGCCATCAGTAGAAGTGACCATATGATGCACCGGCAAACGGCCCACCTTCCATCCTGCCTCTTGCAGCTCATTCCTCAATGCCTGTGGCACTTTCCCCGCAATTAAACAAACCCCTTAATTAGTAACTAATTAATACATCCAATTTATTTTAAAAAAAATGCAATATGTTACTCCTGTATCCTCACCATAGAAAACAATCAAATTAAACACTTCTAATCAGAAATATTAAGGGCTTACACTGAACAAATTCATCAATTTCTTTGATCTTCCTCTTATATATTAAATGATGAAGCTGCTTCCCTCTATAACCTTGCTGAATTCCCACAAAATTCCATCAATTAAACATCAAAAATCATGAAAAAATCAAATAAAATTCATGGGTATAAACAAGATTTATTTCATTTTAAAAAAAAATTACCTGGCCAAAATCAAGGGCAAGTTGTTGAAGTTCAAGCTCAGACATGCCGAGAAGAACCCGGGGGTCAGAAAGTGACGCACGGGCAGTCGGTGCTTTTGAAAGGTTAGACGGCGTCGTATTTATACTAGTTGCAGTAGTAGTTGCAATAGTAGGAGGAGAAGGAGAAGCTGCAGCAACAGCCGTAAATGAACGAGAGGAGATTGTGAGGGCAAAAGCACGTGAGTGGATTGAGGCACGTGCAATTGGGATAGACCATACTTGCTGTAGTAGCGCCATTGTTGGTTGCTTTGTTTTGGAGAAGAAGAAGATGCAAGAAAAACCCAAAACCTCAGTTTGTGTTTTTCTGTGTATGTTTTGTGAATGGATGATAAGAGTAACAAGTAGAGTAGCAATTTGTATTGCACCAAGTTGGCGACTAGTAGCGGAATGAGGTTAAAGTGAAACTTTTTTTGGCTACCTAGGGAGAGCCCCTGAAAGGAGTGTTAATCGGATCGGATCGGATCGGTTTATGTCGTACTTGGACTATGTATTGAAAATAGGGACCAAAGACTAGAGTGAAGGGATTGTGTGCTTTAAGAACTTTTAATCTTCTAATGTCCTTGTTATTGTAGGTACTAAATGATAATTTTTTCCGAGTCAAGAGGAAAGGAAATGTTATTGGTCATCACCTGACTAGATTAGTGTCATTCACATTAGAGCGGTGGTCATTGTATTGAGTCATTACCTTGCAAAGTATTTGCTTATGGATCTTTTGTCTCCTGTAAATGCACTCGTCTTTCCCCTTGCAACAAAAAAATTTACATGAATATTAAGGGTAAACTTTCGATTCCACATAAATAATTATGATATACAAGTTACTTGTAAGAGAGTAATTTTGGCCCGTTGATGTAATATGAATGTAGATCAGGTTTTTGTATTGAAGTTTTCTCAATTTCATGGTTTGTGTGTGCTAAAACTGAAATTTTACATTGGTGGAATATTTAAGTTTCAAAATAACTAACATTGTAGGTTGGTAAGTAAAGTAATACATATGGAATTCGAGACCACAAATCAAATTTTGTCTACATTATTGCTCTTTGCAGTCCTTTCTAAATCAAATTAGACACTGTTTGAGTAAATTGTGGTAAGGCTACAACTCTGAAGGCTACATACAGCTTAGAGCAAAGGCAAAGAGCACTCGAAGATGGAAAAGTCTGATATCATGCAGACATATTATTGCAGAATACTGAGCTCAGAGGAGCAAGCAAATCTTTTACATTACAACACCTCTGAAAAATATTATCAAACAAACAAACAAAAGTTAAATAAGTTAAAATAAATCTACTCCACACAATGTAAAAAGTTACAACAATAAAAACTTGCTGTACAATCATAACCCAAAGCATGGGATTAGTACACCCATTACCCAAGTTCTTCAATTTACATTGAAAAACCCAAATGCTAACACAACCTACCTACCTATCTCTTCTCATTCCATAACAGATGCTCTTAAATCATATGCAGCATGAGATACACATACACTCTCTGAACTCCTACCCTCCTTTCAACAGTTTAACCGAAAGATGAGAAAAGAAAATTAAAGAACTCTTGTTAGCTAAGAACAGGTGGTATAGATGATGTAGTATCGGGAGAAATAACAATACCACCCTTGCAAATTTCATTAGCAATGTTACTTCTCCTCCGATTTTTGGGTCCTTGGTTTTGCGGATTAAAACTCTGCTTTACTTCAGTGTTGACAGGATATAAATCACGAGGGACAGCAGGGTATAAATCACCACCCTTGGGTTTACAGTCTTGGAGCTGCTCTAGTGTTGAGACAACCTCAACCATATTCGGCCTGAACCTTGGATCTACTGACAGGCACTGGATAACAAGGTTCCCTATGGTTTTTGCTGACCTTGAAGAGTACTGCCCTTGGATTCTTGTGTCCATGATCCTGCTTACCTTTTCCTTGCGAAGGTAAGGCATTGCCCATTTAATTAGGTCCCTTTCCTTGACAGCCCGGTTTTCATCTAACACTCGTCTTCCTGTCAGTACTTCAAGGAGAACGACCCCAAAACTGTAGATGTCATTCTTTGGAGTGAGATGACCTGCAGAAAATGCAAATATAACTCAATGTCAGAGTATAGCTTACACATCCAAGAGCCAAATAAATTTGGCCTTGTGCTTGGAATTCGGACAACAATGGATTGACTCCTAATCAAGTCTGAAGGTCCAAAAATTTTAAGGAGTACAGATTAAATCCAACTTTTTTACAATCAAGTCCAATGGAGCTAGTTGTATATTCATGCTCAGCCCTAAATTAATATCAAAACATTTGACGATTGTAACGCTTTGAAACAACAGGCATGTGTTAAGAGAAATCAGAGAGAGGAACTCTTCTCTTACCAGTAGCTACATATTCAGGAGCTGCATATCCTTGGGTACCCATGACTCGTGTGGATACATAGCCTTGGTCATCACATGGCCCATCTTTAGCCAAACCGAAATCAGAAAGCTTTGCATCGAAATCCTGTATTACACATTTGAAATGTTAAACAATGCAAGAGAGTTTAGAATTACTTGTTAATATAATATACAGGAGCTATTTTTCAAAAAAAAAATCAAAAAAAAATACAGGAGCTAGACTTACTGAATCAAGGAGTATGTTAGAAGGCTTATAATCTCGATAGATGACTTTAATCTTTGGGCTGTGGAGGAAGGCAAGCCCCTTTGCAGCGCCAAGAACAATCTTCATTCGGAGATTCCAGGATAGAGGCTCAACATAAGATGATCCTGTACAAAAACAACAGATTTCCACAATTTAGAAGACAGAAACCAGCAAATTAATCTTCAGTCCATAGAAGATGAAAGTTTATTATATAACTCACTTCTGAATAGATGATTCTCCAAGCTACCACGAGGCATAAACTCATATACCAACAGGCGGTGCTCATCCTCTATGCAGTATCCAATCAGGTTCACGAGATTAGGATGTCGTAGTTGCCCCAAGTAATTGATCTCAGTCTGCATTTCAAAACAGACAGTGATTTAGTAAGAGTTATCCACATAGACACCCAAATCAACAGAAGGTAAGAATAGCAGAAGTGCAGAACTCGAACACGATAATTTAGACGAAACAACTAGCCTAATGATTGAGCAATGAATCAAAAGAATCTCACAAAAAGTCAGTAGATTAACATGATATGCCATGAAAGTAATGCTTACCACCCATTCTTTATGACCCTGGAATCCTTCATGATTAAGCCTCTTGACTGCAATGACCATTCCAGAACGAGGCTTAGCAGGAGCTAAGGTATGCTCATCAATCCACCCCTTGTACACACAACCAAAGCCACCTTCTCCAAGCACACTATCAGGTCGAAAATTCCGAGTTGCTTGGTTAAGATCACTGTAAGAAAAATTCTTCAAATTCGACGATTGCAATATCTCCCCCTCTGATCTTAGGTTTAGTCTTTCAGATTGAGCCCGGTCATTGCCACCACCTTTATAAGAACAAAAACAATTTAACTAAAACCTTAGTAATGGACATAGAGATAGTACAAAGTATGCTCTATATATATCTAATCACAATTACAATATTATCGACGATTATTTCCAAATCTCGAAATCAAATTAGCTACTAAAATAGCCTTGGGTGTACAATGGACATTGTCCCATGCCCAAAATCTAGTAAACCTTAGCATTAATCTATAGTTGACTATTCTAAAGTTCCAATCTTTTATCCTTTATCATCCCCTTTGAAGAACAAGTAATCCAATTCTACCATGTAGATTATGCAAAATCATGTATATATGACTAAAAGAATAAGAGAATTCAAATAACCCACCAAAATAATCACACCAATTTAATCAAAATATAACAAAATGAAAAATTCACTTGAAATTAATTGACCAACCAACACCGCAATCAAACATTATTTGATGTATGTATAACTATATGAAATATAACATGAAATAAACTAAAATCAAACACTAAAACAGTGTAAAATGCAAAAAAAATTAACCCCATAAAATAATTAATTTAGTGAGCGCTTACCAGAATGATGAACAGGGCTTTCATCAGCCTTAATCTGAATACTTAAACAACACCCCATTAAAGCTCAAAATTCAGGAAAATTTCTCCTGGTAGCTTGAGCTTGAAGCTCCTGTTTTTGGGAATTTTTTTTTTTGCAAAAAATAAACAGATTTCAGGTAAGAAGGGGAGAGTAGAATTTATTTGAAAGTGAGAAAAAGATAATTAAAAAAGGAAAATACCCAGAAATTTAAGCAAGTTGTAGTAAAGATTTTAATAGAAGTGATAAAGACAGGGGAAAATGAGAGGTAAGAGCAATTTGATATGAAAACAAAGAATTTTCAACGTTTTGCAATAGCTTTTTGCGCGAACTAGCCTGGCATGCAGTCGGAAAAAAGGAAAAATTAAATTATTTACAGTTTAAAATAATTCAGTAGTAGACTTTTTGAGTTGACTGAATAGTTTATTATAGGTAGTGCTAATTTAACTGATCTATCATCTGTGTGTGTGTATGTTATGGGAGATGGATTTGGTGATTACGGTCAAGAAATTCATGTTTTATAATTGAGATAATGATCTACCCATTGTCCATCATCATTACGTACACACAGATTGTTTTGTGTCGATATCAGCTAGCTTAGTTGGTAAAGTTTGAAAAAAGGTGTTGTACTTAATACTTGAAATTGAATCTCATCCTTATCAGTCGTGATTTGTGATTTTATCTACATCAAAATAAAAAAGAGTTTTTTTTCTTTTTCCTATCACAACATGAGTATCTATTCGTCTAAGAATGAGACCAGCAAATAGAATGAAAAGATTTTGGTATATTCAATAATCTTAATGCCAAAATCAAACATGTGGGTGATGAGTACATGTTTCAACTTCATATTAGTCATGTTTCTTTGTACTTTGCTAACTTTAATAATAATAATAAAATTCTATAAAAAAATTGATTTATGGTATAACCATTCCGTTGAACTTATCTTAACAACTTGACCATCAAAAGAAATCATCTCGATAAATAATAAAGTTCAATAAAACAAAAAATGTTTTTAAAATTTTCTATCTACAAGTATTAACAAGAACGAATTCTTAATTAAGTTGATTATATAGTGTTTTTTTTCCTCAGATCAAGAGAATATTTTTATTTTTCGATTGAAAGAGGAGAAAATTATTCTTTCATACAAAATAACTTATCCAAATTCAAAGTATCTACCAACAAGAATAATGACAAGTGAAGGTCAAATTCATTCTTCAAAATACATGGCCTCACGTCTTGGAATATACTAGTTGTAATATTTTTAATGTCATTATTAGAGAACACATTTCCATAATTAGCAGTAGTTTTCACAAGGCAATAAGTCAAGGCTACTAGTCCTATTACAATGATAGATGCTTTTCATTATAATAATAATGTTAATGTCATCAATTTCTCAAGCAATAAGCATGAGGGGCCTTAATTAGCTTTTTCTTTTACCTAATAATTTAAGAGCATGAAGAATTAGTAAGCATTCTAGACACCAGAAAAGTACATGAAAAGACTGCATGGCAACCAGCAACGTAGCCAGTTCCACAAGGATGCAGAGTCCTTAGATCGGTTCAAATCACCGTGGTTGCTTTAATTTATTCTCCGTCATGTTTTTTTCTTTTTTTTGACGTATAAAGAGTTGTTGAGGAAAATACATGGTCATATTATTTGACAAGTTTTAAAATATGAAAGTTATCACCATACGCCCTTCATTTTTAGGCAATACACACATTTGATTTGGAGCAATAGTTAATTTGACATAAGATAATAGATATCCTTCAATACTTATTTTAGTTAAAGTATGATAAAAGTAAATTAGTTAAAGGATCGATAACTTTTATAAAACTGATTTCATAGAATCACAAAGTAACTACTTTTATAAGAAATAAATAAATAAATAAAAAGTAATCTGATTGTTCATGTGTTATACACTCCCTTCGTTTTTAAATACTTGTTTCATTTCTACTTTTTACACTATTTATTTATCTTACTTTGACTAATGTTTGTGATTTATACACAAGAAAAAATATAGTCTTGTGGATACTTGTTGGAATCATCTCAATAAATAGATTATTAATTTTCTATTGTTAGAATTTATACTTATTGATAATTAAAGATATTATTGATCAAAGATTAGCATCGGCATACATGCCCAAGAGAAATGGAGCAAGTATTTAAAAACGGAGGGAGTATTGAACAAAATAAGCTGGTGACCAATTTTCATACTAAAAAAGTTGAGTCGTTAGGAAATTAAAACTTCATTGTATTAAGAAAAGTCAAAGTAGAAGAGAAGGTCTGCTACTGTATTATTGAGAACTACTGTCCATTTGCAACAAATTAAAAATGAGAATAAATATTTAATTATATGAAAAAAGTTACGTAGTCCTTGACAAATAATAATCATAGAATAACATGGGTCAAATGATACAAATACTAATTCTCAACCTCCCCTCTAACCCCCAACAATAAGAAATAGACAAAAATCTTAGCTGATGAAAATAAAATAATATGGGTGTTTCAGTGAAAGACGATTAATTGTCATGACGCCAGTCATGTCATAATCATGGGCATGTAGTGAACGAATTAACGAATTTATTATTTGTTAATGAAGGTAGAAATTTTGTTCATGTTTCAATTTTCAGCTGATAATTTTTTTTTATTACATTGATATATACGGAGTAATTTTATTTAAAACTCATCCAATACAACATTCTCGTAATAAAGTACGTTTTTAGTTTTGGTGCTAAATACTTTTAATACTGTATCAAAATTTTAAGTGATGAATCTTATCCAAGAATAAATAAAAATAAACGAATGATGAATAATAATAAGTTGGTATTAAAGTCTTCAAAAAAAAAAAAAAAAAAGTTGGTATTAAAAATGACAATAATATATGATTTTATATACGTACGTATTAGGCTAAAAACGTATACTAAAAGCTTGCTTATTATTCTGGTGATGACATGAAAGATAATTAAACGGATGTTGATGTCCATTTGGATAGAGTGTAGACTAGTTTAATGATAGGCTAGCTACTAGCACATGGATAACTACACCCAATGTGCTACAAACTATAATTAAAGGGCAGTGACTTAAGTTTAATATCATCGATCATCTATTATTCCTCTCATATTTTTCTATCCACGTATTTTGCACGTGACAAGTAAGATTCTCTTATATAATCTGTGATAGAATAAATGGTATGTCCGTGCACCTTATTTTCGTATACTCGTACATTTAAAAGAAACATCACTATATTATACAGTATCTTTTAACTAGAGTTCTTTGTTAGATAAAGTTTCAAGATTCTAATTTGCAAACTAAATTCAAAAGAGCTTACGGATAAGAAAGTTTCAATTCATTAAACAAAATCCTTATTCCTTAACCAATAACAATATGAATGACGAGTTACTAAACCCTACTTAAAATTGATATTACTAGTATGAACTAGTCCAAAAGTAGAAGTCGACATCTAACACCACAAGACTCGCAACACAAATCCAAAGAGACTTTAATCTTTTTGTATGACTTGCATGAAGGTGTATAAACCTATAATAATATCAATGGCGAGTTACTAAACCCTACTTCAAATTGATAGTACTAGTGTAGTAGTATGAACTAGTCCAAAAACAGTAGTCGACATCTAACACCACAAGACTCGTGAGACAAATTCAAAGAGACTTTTATCTTCTTGTATGACTTGCATGAAGGTGTAGATAGATGGATAACCCTAATGATGTTAACCACAATCACAACCCCATCCCAATACCCACCCTATTTGATCGTTTCTTCGACATAATCCCATCACACAGCAATAGCTTCCTATTTCAGTTGGGACCAAGAAACTAGTTACTCTAAACCTGGTGTTTCGGCTCGCATTAAGCCCACATGTTTAATTTGGTAAGCTTCCTCACACCTACAATGATGCGCCTTTATTATACAGATCCTATTGCACCTACCAACCTACACCGATGTCCCTCATTAAACCAAAGAGAACATTTTCTACACTGAAGTAGGCCTCAAAAGAAGATTAGCCATGATTTTCGTACATTGTCTGTTGTTACTTCCTCTGTCCGAAATTAGTAACTAGTTTATATATGCGAAAAAAGGTCAAACGGATTGAGTACTTCAGAAGGTCAATTCATAAGCCAGTTTAATGTTGCTTAACAACAGACCTCAGTCACCTCACAGTAGTGTTAATTAATTCAGATGGACCTGCCTTTTTTCCGAATTGTTTACATTAACATCAATACTCGGCAGTGTTATGTAACATCAACGACAAAGTATCTTTTAGAAGCTGAGTCAAATCTTCAAACTGGGCAGAGAAATTTTTTTTAAGATTACACAGAAAATGAAGCTGGGTAATTGTCATCCAGTGAAATAGTTCTACATCAAATTGTTATTTCCACTACATGATAGCCAAACGCTACTGGTAAGCCAAAATACAGATTATAGTTTATTCTCTCAAAAGCAGCTTCAAAAAAAAATCGCCCTAAAATGCAGCTCCTAACAAGAGCTTTTTCATACACCGTAGACTTAAGCACTCTTGACAGTAGCGGAATTGATAATGTCGATGAATTCCGGCTGAACAAAGGAAAAATCAATCTTGATTAGGGATCAAGAGCAAGAAAAAAAAAATGCACTGTACTTGTATGAAGCAGTTAGCAGGTTCTGGCAAGGAGAAGATCAAAAGTTAGATGAGAAACATACCTTTAGAGAGGCTCCTCCAACCAAGAAACCATCAACATCAGGCTTAGCAGCCAGCTCCTTGCAATTAGCACCGTTAACTGAACCTGCAGCACCAAACATCGTAATCGATTGAGAAGTCTATCTAGAAGAATGGAAAGATTCAATGAATTACGTAGTACATGAATCTCTTGTACGTCTCTTGTGCTAATTCAAAATAAAGCTTCCAAAATGTGGAGATTTTAGTTGATGAGGAATTAAAAAGCATGAAGCATTTTTGAAGAGTTACATTATGCAACATAGATAATAGATAAGCCTCAGAAAGAATAAGCGCAAGTTGGTTTCTATTGGTACAGAGCATCATGTTGCTTTCTTTCATTTATGCAACAGAACAAAGATGGGGGATGGGGATCCAGATGAAAGACACTTTATGGGTTTCAGAACCCTGCCTCAGACGAACATTCAGAATTTTACAAGCTGATTCTCAGGGCCAGCTAGGTTCGATAGAATGTTCCTCACATGGGAACTAGAGGTAGTACTAGCTAAATGGAGTT